GCCTAATCCCAACAACAAAATATTAACCCTTACTTAGCTTTTTTGAAAACTCTCCAGAATACATCAAAGGCATACTTTTCCATGCAGAAGAAAGACCTTCAGCAGAGAGGATATTGGCTTTGTCCTTGAAGTGCTAAAAATGGGGAAAGCAAGGACAAAAATGAAGAAACGGCGCTTTACCCGTGGCTGGAGGAATAACTGCGCTCAACCACTGCAGTCATGTGCTGGGGGTCCTGCCTGGATTCGCTTTCCCTCGGTCCTGAAATAGAGGAGGGCTCAGTGCTGCTGCCAAGCACTGTTACCCTGCCTAATCTTCACGTTAAAGAAAGGCAAAACAAGCAAAGACTCCGTAGATGTGACACGGCTGTCTGCTCAAGCCTGATTGCTCCTTGCAGGGCTGGCTGTGGGAAGCTCTGGACATGGTGTGTTTAAAGCGGTTTTGGATTTTGGAGAGGAAGGCAGGGGTCACGTTCAGCGACTCATTTCAGCAGAGTTGGCTTTTTCTCCCCCTCCCTGCACTCATGAGAAGGAAGGGGAAGACAACACAAAGCACAGGGAGAGTCCTGGCTCTGCCACAGCTCTTTGGAAATCAGAATTCCTCTCTGTGGGATCCAGAGACTCTAAAAAATGGATAATCCCTCTGAAGCTCTTAGAGAGCACTGGCATTTTCCTCCCTCTGGTCTGTAATTCCCAGGCTGGACGCTCAGGGGGTGTCGATCGGAGCTCTGTGACGGTGCTGGTGCTGAGCGAGACGTGCCAGGAGCAGCAGGCTGAGACCTGAAAACTGGTGGGTTTTAGTGCTTTTCTCCCAGTTTTCCAAGCTGCAGCCGTGTTGGTGCCTGCCTGTGCAGGTAAACCTGGCAGCAGAGCACGCATTGCATGCATGCTGACGGGCAACCGCGGCTCTAGTGCTGCCTGCAATGAAACGTGCTGCCTTTGCCAGTGCTCATTCCCAGGGGAGGGCACCGCGGGCCCCGGAGCAGGAGCCTGGGTTAATACTTGTTAAATTCGGCACTGGCTCTGAGAGCATCCCGAAGGCCAGAGGTCAGCAGCTTAATTCTCTGGTTTTGCTAGCTCAGCTCTAAGCTCAACCTTTCCTTGTTTTTACAAAACCTGTTCCAGGAAGTTTATTTTTCCCGAGCATAAAAGTAAATGCTTAGGTCTGTATGGCAGAAGCTTAAATGAAATTTAAAGCGACTTCCACGCCAACTTAAAAAAACAACCAAAAAAAGTGGGGGTTTTCAGTTTCTAATGTGCTGACTTAGCCTGGATTTTAAAAGCCCTGCTTTAAGCTATTTCTTTAGACTAAAATTTGGCATAGACTTGAACACTGGAGCATATGTTCAAATGAAGTGTTAGGATTATATAAAAAAAATTGTTAATAGAAAAAAATAACAGTAAAAGGATTAAATGAAAATTGGGTCAATTCTGTAGGGACCCTCTCTGAAGAGCTGACAAATTAAGTGCTTATTACAGCTTCCCTTGCCCAAGACCAAATTCCAGGGAGGAATCACAAGCTCAGCCAAGATTTTCAGACCTGAGCTTGACCCTGCACACATCCATGCTGAGACGCTACATCAGACCGAAGCACGGCCTGATCTGGAAAAATGATGAGTGCTCAACAACTCCCATTGACTTCAGTTTATTAAAATGCTTTGGAAACCCGGAGCCCTGCTGTGGGGTCTCATGTAAGGTCAGCAGAGTAGTTGCAGCAATGCCTCCAGCCAAGGGTGGTGGCTCTTCTCCACCCTCCACTGAGCCCATCCCAGATTTTATTCCGCAGTAGACTCATACCTTTGCAGATAACATGATGTACAAAGAGAAGTAACTCCTGGTAGGATACCAATGGGCTTATTTATGCCTGTGTACGGCCGTGAGTACTGCAGGTCCAGGAATTTCTGTGCCAGCACCCAGGGTGCTGACCTGTTGGAAAGGGATCAGAAAAGAGCTAAACCATCACCTCTGGTCCTGGAAAGCTACTTTCCAGTGAGAGGCTCCAGAAGCGTAGCCTTTACAGCTCTTTCAAGGGAAGGCAGGAGGCAACTTGGTTGCGATCCATAAATAGCTTTCTAGGAAGACCGTTGCGATAAGCAGAAGGCTTGTGAACAGAAACGAGCCCAGCAAGGCACAGCGGCAGCGGGCTAAAAATACCAAGGCACTCGGCGGGGGTCTGCCTCAGCACAGCATCCCCCAGGAGCACTGCCCTGGGACTGCAGCGCTGACCCTCCAAAATGCCGGTGACATTCCCATCCATCCATGCAGTATTTTTAACTGAGTTCTAAACGCCATGGAGTTTTTACTGCTGTTACACTTGTTCCATGCAATGCAGTGAGTAATTAACCCCCTGGAGCACGCCAGCCCCTGTCCGTGCCTGCCGGGAGCCCTCGTTGTGTTCTCCATTTCTCCTACTCAATATTGTTTCCAAAACCAGCAACTCAAAACACCCTGAATTTATAAATCCCACGGGAAGCACATGTTGGGCAGGTGGGGGTTATCCAGCGGTCGTGCCCCGGTGAAGAGTAAATGATTACCGAATCCTGCACGAGGGGAGAGATGGCTGAGATTAGTGTGCTAAGCTGGAGCTGGGCACCAGTGCGTTTTAAGGCACAGCTCAGCTGGTGCGCCCCGGTATTGCCATTGCCCGCCGTTGGGGGCAGGAGGAGGGGTTCTCCAGGCTGACGTGGCCTCAGGCTTTTCTCTCTCATCAGACACTCCAGAGGTGTTTTAGGACCTCTGCTTGAGCCATCCCTGTCCTGCAGCACATGCAAACGGGAATACATGTATTCATGTGCTCGAATGTCCCTATGCGAAAGGGCTCTGGGGGCTCAGGGGACACCGTGCGCAACCACAGAGATGCTCTCGGGGGAGACCGTCCCTGAGACCCTGATGGAGCATCGCATGAGTAAACTGTTCCCTTTTCCCAACTGGCTCTGGTGCTGTCGCATGGCGTGGCTTCTCTCACAGCAGGTCTGGGGACGTGCACCGCTCCCGTCCCATCCTGTCCCTCTCTGGGCTTTACAGCAATTTCTTGTCCGCTCTGCTCAACCAGCAGGAAAAATCTGCATTGTCCCCCAGCACCCAGGGGGTTGGACCAAACCCCAGCCCGGGAGTGTGACGCAGGGCCAGGATCTGGTGCTTGGTCCCGGTCCGTTGGCAGGTGTTGGATCAAACAGCGCCAGCCGGCAGCAGCTTCTGTGTTAAATGTTTTCATCAGGGCACAGAAACACTATTGCTGCGCAGAAATAGCTGTTGCTCGAGAGAAAGAGAGGAAATACCTCTACTGAAATAGAAAATTAATTTTAGACCAGTATAGTGACCTCTTTACTGACAGGCTGGCGGGCACGAGGGCTGTGATTGAAATCCCAAATGGGGGGAAAAGTCTCTGTTCTGCATCTGCTGCGTCCTTTGCATTAACTGCTGTGGGTCGGCTCGTGCCTGTGGGAATTGGGGCAGCAGCCTTTCCCTGAGCAAAGCCTTTTGTTTGCAGAGGGGAGATGGCGAGGGGCAATGGTCAGCAAGAGCTCCCCCGGCCCGGTCTTGGTATTTCCCCAGCAGAAAAGTGTCCTGAGAAAGAGAAAAGCCCATTTTCTTGCCCCATTTCTGTGTCTGCTCAGTATGGTCTTGGGTGGAGGGTGCCCCGGGGAGAGGCAGCGCAGGGGGACCAAGGGGTGCCGGCCCTGTGTGTCTGTCCTGGGGAGCATTGACTGCCCTTTTTCAGAGAAGAGCTGTCATTTATTTTAATCACTTGTACAGGAGGTAAAATTAGACAGAGCTGATGTAATTTAAACGAGTCTTACACAACTGGGTGAGATGCTGGAGGCTCAATGAGGCACACGCGTGTTTTGATATAAAGTAGAAAAGGAGGAAATTAAAAATGAAAGCAAACCAACTATATATGCTTATAAACAATGCGTATTTGGTGATGGGTCCCTGCTGCTGTAACTAAGCCGAGCTGCAGCCTGTTTGAGCCTGGTCTGGCTGGCGATGGAGCTGGGAGCTGCTGGGGCTGATTTCTGCAGCCTCTGCTGATGCCGCAGGGGAGGGCTGTCCCCTCCTCGCCGTGTCCCACACCATCCCGCGGGATGCACGGCACCATGGTTTGCACGGCACTATGGTTTGCATGCGGTGGCAGGTGCAAGGGTGTTTCGGGGTGGTGGGATGTTCCGCCCTGTCGCACCCCAAGGGCAAGGTCTCTTCGGGACAGCGCTCGCGTCTTCCCCCGCCGCAAACCCGAGTGCTGGACCAAATGCCCCAACGTGTTGCTCCCGGCCCTGGAGAGGGATTTGTGATTTCCATACTGTTTGCAGAAAGGAAACGGTTTCTGCAAACAGTTTGTGCAGCCTGTGAGTGACTCAGCTGGGGCGGCCGGGCTGCGACCCATGGCCACTGCTGCCACTGCTGCAGCTGGACCCGGCGCTGCCCCCGCTGTGGGGCCAGGTGCTGCCCCCCTAGTGGGACTGGGTGCTGGTGCTGGAGCAGCGGTTCCCAAAACAAAGCTCGTCCTCGAAGCAATGCTGATGTTGTTTTGAGGTTTGCAAGACACCTGCAGGAAGCAAACCAGATGATGCGGGTTCTCAAAATAATCTAAACACAATGCAAAGAAAAATGAATTACCACCTTTCTGCCACCTTCTGCTGGCATTGCAGGGAAGGTCTGGGGATTGGGAGGAGACATCATTGTGGTGAGGTTTGTTGCCTCCCCCAGGCCTCAAGCCTGGACCCTCCTCCCCAGGGAGTGAGCCCTGCTCAGCCCCGCTCCCCTGTATGGTTTTGCTACCCTAGAAAGATGCTGCAGAACTGTAGACAGCAGCGCAGGTGTTATTTCTGCTGGCAGTTAGAAATAACGGGGCTACTTGGTACTCAGATGAAGGTGGGCTCTGCATTTGGTGAAGTCTGTCTTTGTCTCTGCCAACTGCATGCCAATTTTCACATCAAATGCCTGATAACCGCACCAGCAAAACCGGCAATAACACTGTCCTTGCCCTCCCACCTCCCCTCCAGGCTTCGTCTGCGAGCGTGACCGCTTGACTTTCGGCTTCTGCCAGACCCTGCGGGTCCTGGGAAGGTGCCACCTCCCGACGGTCCACTTCCAGTGCTGCCGAAGCTGCCGCCAGCACGGGCACCA